GTACTTGTTCCCTCCTCCTGTTAGAATTGGTTTGAGCAGGTTTTTACATTCTGACAACCCCTTTTTTAAGCAAGTTGTTTACTTGTTTATTACAGGAGTGTATTATTTACCTGGAAGGATATTAATGCAATAAACCAAATACAGACACTTCTGATGTGGTATCATTCACTAGCTTTAGATAATATGTCATTGTGTTTTATTTTTCATTTATTTCTCTAGAAATTGTTTTTGTGACTTGATAAGAATATAAACGATAGAACATTTTTGGATTTTGCTGTGTATAATTGTAAACATATACGATGCTGATTTGAAGGTGTAAGGAGAAACTGATGACTAATTGTGTCTGTACCATCTTTACACACACACACACCTTAATGTACTGTACCTATTTCAGTGTACCATCCAGTAGATGCAATATATTAATCATCGTACATTATTCAGATCTGATTCACGGACTGTCATCTTGGTGACGATTCAGGTTCAGAATTGAGTAGCTTGGACAAGAATAGCTTTGACATCACATTGCTGTGATTTAGTGAACTTCCTCAACCCTCTGAAAGTAACATGATGTTACATTTTCTCACTGTTTGTGTTTAAGCTACCAACTTATTGGGATTGTAACTTCTGCAGTGTTTTTTCATCTGAAACCGGGTAAAACTTAAAGTGGATCTCTTCTCCCCTTTTTACACTAGCAAATTTCTTAATATTTTCATTGTACAGTATTGTCATTTAGTACAATTTAGTCCTGTGAAGCAGATCTATTCATTACAAATTAACATTTGTTGGCAAAATGATTCATTTCTTTGTCCTATCAACAGGATTTTAATCATCAGCAATATTAGTGTGAAGGTTTCTATGCATGGCACATTCAGATTGAACAGACCTGTATTCCAGTACAGAAAGTAAAAGTACAGGTTGCTGCGTCTGATTGTGAACACAGAACGTGTAACTAAAATGAAATAAAGGCTGCTGGGCTGGGCAAACAGTAAGCAGGACGTTACAATTATCTTACAAAACTCAAAATATTTAAAAAGAGAGCTCAACTGACGACAGAAAACCAACATAAGAAGTTTAAATGGGAGGGGGGGGTGCATTTTCCAGGCACATAGGCTACGCTCACACTGCAGGTTTTAATGCTCAGTTCCGATTTTTTGAAAAAAATCAGATCTTTTTGTGTGAACGTTCACATTACATTTTAAATGTGACCTGTATCAGACTCCAGTGTGAACGCTACACAGCACTGATGTGACACGCATGCGCAGTAAACGACGTGACGTCTCATCAGCCGGCTTGTTTGTTTACAGAGCTAGCATGGATGCTACATTTTGCACATCGAATCTGAAGTTGTTGTTTAATCAGAGCTGATTAAATAATTATCTGACATGCTTCTTTAGTTCAGTGTTTATATCTGAAGCTGCCTCTGACCGGGATGCTCCAGTGAGGCTTTTTTTTTAACGAAACTACGAGCTGGAAAAAAGTATCGACAGAGAAGCTAACTTTAGGATCGATACTCTCCGCGACCCAGGCTGGACATGTTATTATCAAACTATCTACGTGGAAAATGAAAACTAAAAAAGATGAAGCAACTGGACTTGTGTTTTGGAGCTGTAAACACACGGAGCTACAGATTTAAACAGTGAGACTTGAGGTTAGTGTCTTATCGATCCTTCACCCCCACCTCACTGATGAAAAAGTCAGATGAATGTGACATGAGCGTTCACACTGCAGTCACTTTGAAAACATCAGATATATATATCCGATTTAAAACCACATACTGAAACGGCCTGGGTCGGATTAGAAAAAATCAGATATGAGTCAGATTTGCCTGCAGTGTGAACGTGGCCATAGTTTAATTTTATACCACAATCAAGTTGTCGTCGGCTGTTATGAATATGCTGTAAAAAAAAAAAAACAATTAATTTTGCACCATAGCCCATTTAAACACCTTGAAATTGGCCTCTGTCTTTTTAACAACCTCCTACCATTTATGACACTCCCACTTCAGCACATTTTCGCAACAATGCTTTGTGGGAGGGGTGCTCTGTGGGGCGGGAGCTCGGCTGCAGACTGAGATCCAGGGGGGAGCTTTGTGTAAATAGGCGGAGCTTTGTACCAGCAAGCGTTCAGGCAGCTCCACATGGCCACAGGAGATTCAAGGATTTTTCAAACATGCATGAATGAGTCAAAACAACACTCTGGGTATGTTTTTGATGAATAATGCAATTAAAGCTCAAAAAAGTTGAATTTGTTTAAAACCACCCACTTTAACATGTTGTGGTTTTTGGTGGGGTGACATGGTACAAGGAATATTTTATAAGTACTTTAACCAACTGTAGAGCAGTATGATACCAGCATTTTATAATCTGTTTAGCAGCATTGTTCTTGTTACTAACTAATTATAAAACAAACACATTGGCCATTTTTTATCCTCTGCATTAATAAAGAGGCTAGGATATCATTAGTGATGATAACCTCTGGATAACATTAATAAGGTATTCTGCTGAAAAAAAATCTACATAAAGTGATTAATTTTTTAAAAGTTTGCTCCAAAGAGTAAATCATKCCACTAAAGAACATTTTTACTTTCTCATAGGGTATAAAGAAAACACTGAACCCTGCACAAAATATCATCAGGGCAAAAAACCTACTATAATTTACAGATTTTTACAAATCTAGTTGACCAGAATCATCACATTTTTTAAAAATATTAGGACACAGCCTACATTCTTGGCCAGACTTTCTGAGGTTCATAAATACATTCAAGCACTCCTTTGTGAGTTTCTTGGTGGTCAAACAGGAAGCTCAATTTCTAATTAGATTATGATAACCTTGACTGCTGATTCTTTAGTAATTTTGAAAAGTTCTTTAGATTCTTTTGTTCTAAGACTTTCTGTCAAGATTACTTTTTTCACTCATATTTTCTACAAAAAGATGTCACCTTAGTCCTGCAGATGTGTTGGATGTTCTGCCACTCATGAGGTGTATCCAAGAGGTCTGGACACACCTCCAACCTGAGCTAAAAATGGTACAGGAGGTGGTGTCCAGATATAAAATAAAATTCAACAATGATAGCTAACAGCATATTTTTACATTAAAAAACAAGAAAAGAGACTGTAATCAAAAATCAACAGCAAGCTTTAATACAGGTTYATGATGTCTGTGCTGTCATTGTATCATTATTTTCTGTCTTATTAGTGGTGTTTGTACATTTAAGCCAGATATAGTTGAGGTTAAAATTCTATGCTGATGTTGTGCRTCAAAACCTGAAAAGTTGTGATTGTCTGATCTGTAACCTAAATCAGACAATGTATTTTACCAGGTTGTGTTTAATCTGAATATCTTCCAGCAACTAAACCAGTCGCCATCAACCTAAATTAAAGCTTTTTTTGTAAAATGAATGATGCCCTTTTCCAGTGACTCCCACCAAGCTGGAAAAAATAAAGAAGAAATATAAATTAAGTGCACAGTCAAGACTTTAAAGCCCTGCATATAAAAGCTCTTGATGCTATCTCTTTCAGTTTTGTCCCGAGGCGTGAACATAAGGTTGCCGAGCAGTGATTGTAGTGACTTTCATGTCAAAGTGCCTGACTAATCCAGTTTTAATGTAAAATATGTGTAAAGGGTTGTTTTACCCTGAAGCATGTTGGGTGAAAACGTCATTTTCCTTCCAGCTTATAAACTGCAGCGACTCATTTGAGAGTGTTTTCACACACCTACGGTAGTTCATTCATGCAAACCTTACATAAAAACACATGCTCTTTTGGCCACAGTATGTTTATTCCCATGAGAACACGCAGAAAACAAATGACATTCCAGGAATGAGAGATCATCTCTCCCTCTCTCTTTAAACAACTGTGTTGTCTAACAAATGGTACACAGCTTACACATAGTAAAGTGCTGAAATGTGACAGCGAACAAAGAACTGGGACTTGAAAATCCAAAGCGATAGTTTAGGTTTTCTGGTGTGGTTTTGTAGAAAAGTTTACAAACAGTCAATATCTTACCTGTTGTAGATAGCTCGTTGAAGGGACTCCGTTTGGAGAAAAAGTTTATTCTGACCAGACTGATGAACCAATGATGAGCTTAAGTGGCGTCGAGTTGTTTTAAAACAACAAGATCATGCAAATACTAACCTTTATGCCACTATCAACGTTACATGTTTAATAATTAATGTTTAATACTTTTAAATTTCCCTCAGGTTTGTTCTGGAAGTTCTACATCCAACTGCTGCTGCCACTATTTGGACTTGCAAACAACCCAAAATTTAGATTTAAGCTAATGTGTTGTTTAAAGAAGGCAGCAATGAATGTTTTACCTTAAATCTACTCAGATCAGCCATTAGCTCATCAGTGTAGTCAGAAAAAAACTCAATTTTTCTCTAAACTGAAGTTGTTTTCTGCAACACCTAACATAATTACAGATTTTCCATAYTGCATCCTTTCAAAAGATCTGAACTGTTAAGTATCTAAAATATCTCTTTATTTCAATATAATAGTTTGAGCGTGACCGGCTAATATGTATATAGTAGAATTATCCTAACTTGCATGCCTAAAAAGTACCCTGTATTAAATGTACTCAACAAAGAGGGAATAAGGCTTAAGTCATGCATGCCAGCTGTGTGTCTTTTGAAATTCCACTGTGTTACAGCCCTGATGAAGTTTTAATCTTCAGCAATCAATAGCTATGAGATATGTCAAGTTAAAACCCAAGAGTGGTTTTCTGAACCAAAAAAGTGCATTTTTTTTAAAAAAAAATAAGTTTTTAACTTCATAAGGCAAAAAGAAAATATGTTTAAAGAGCAATAAAAAGGCAAGAAACGAGTTATCAAGATATTTTTTCTCATGACTTGATTCATTACCAAAGGAAAAATATAGAGATGATTTTTTTCAAATGTCAAATTTAAACCAAAACAGAAAAGAAAACAKAATGGGTAGTTAAGCATTTAAAATATTCATATACTGTAAATGATGTGTAAAAAAATAAATAAGGSGAATTTCAAATTGAAGTTGCACATAAATTTTTAATATTTGAAAGTACATTTGATTGCYTCCTTTAACTAGGACTGACATGCACCAGCCAGCAGCAGAAGCTCAATGGGTGGTTAGTTCAAAGTGGACTCCCCCCCTTATAGGAAATTGTGCTTTATGTTCCAARGAAAAGAGACTTGGACTAAATGTATCAGTTTGTGCAGCTGGAAAGAGAATAAATCGTTAACGAGCCCAAAAGTTTTCAAAAGAGTCAAGTTGGTAGCTTATGTGGCATTTGTCTACTTTTACTGGCAAAGTCCTAAAACAGCATATAAAAAAAGAGGTACTATCAGGTTTTCTTTCTTTCTTTCTTTCTTTCTTTCTTTCTTTCTGTCTTTGTTTCTTTTTTTTCTGGGGTGAAGGCTCCCAGTGTATTGATGGCAAAAATCAATGAACAACCAGAAAAATGTGAACAAAGAAAAAAACAATAACAACAGGAATATACTGTAGTTGCCAGCACACGACTCTTGCCTGTCTTTTTTTWAAACTCTCCTCCTTTTTCTGCACACAAGAAACCTTATCTTTGTAATCCCAGGTGAAAGAGATTTCTGGCAGAGATTAACAATGTTGACAGAAATAGGAAACCACAATCGGCCACATTTGAAAGCAATAAATTAAAGCGAGATTCGATTACTGCGTACAAGCTGCTGTTGGACGTGAGCGGAGTTATGAGACGGCTTAAACAGTGGTTCTCAATGGGAGTTAAATAAGGCTGAGTTAACACACCTTAAAATGAGAATATTGGAGTATTCATAARGAGCCAGCGGTGTGCTGTCAGGGCTACCGGATTTAGCTCAAGTTTACGAAATAAAACTCGAACCTATGAGTCGTAGCAGTTTGTGGTCTTTGTGATTATAAAAAGACAATCTGAAACCTTTAAGAGTAAATACAGATATTGTACACRTGTGTGTCTGTATGCATACTTATTTGCCTACAAAACCAATCTATACTATAGATTGACACTCTCATAGAGGAATATTGCACRAGTCAGACGTCTTCTGTCTTCTGTACCTGCACTGGAACAAGATGGCCATTRATTAAAAGAAGCATTCTACGGTACAGTCTTTTCTGGGCTTTTTTTTGACTGATTTGCCCCTTCAGTCAGGCAGTCCATCAACAAGGGGTTGCTCYCCCAAAGCAGCAGCTGAGCCATTGTTCTCCCCCCTGTCACCCCCTAAATCCCTCTCCCTGTTTGTCTCATCCTGGCTCAGTGGATCCAGTGTTGACAGGTGGTCCAAGGGGTCAAACGTATGAGTTTTGGGCTCAGGGCTTAAGAGTGGTAGCTGCGGCAAAAGCGGCTCATCCCGGAACTTAGTGGCGAGCTCCCTGGCGCTGCAGGTGGGCGTATTGGTCTCGTAGACCTCGTGGAAGTTGTTGTAGTCCACCTCGTAGAAGCCCTTCTCCAGAGAGAGGACCGGCGTGAAGCGGTAGCCCCACAGCACCTCAGTGTCCAGGTAGGAGCTCCGGGCCTGACAGGTCATACCTGCCACGGGTATGGACAGCCGTTTGGGTTTGACGATGCCACAGTCACACAGGGTATGACAAAAAGACACATATGGACAGAATGGACAAGCAAATGGACGGTGAAGGACAACACATAGGAAAGAAGAGGACAGTATATGTCAGTTATTTATATTTATACAGCAGCTGCATACAGAAATATCCAAATAGTGCACAGAATTTGTCCACTATATTTGTAAAATGTCACTTTAAAGCCTGTGGTTTTGTACACTTCTCAGAATAAAAATTGATTTTCTCTAATGTTGTTACACCTGCCTCAAACCCGTTTATATATTGCAGTCGGAGCATCATTGAAGGTCCCAACACACTGTTTTCACTGCTGTTGTCAGTTTGCGTTTTCTCAGAGTTTCATGCGGATCACTCAGCCTCCACCTGCACACCATGAACCTGAACTCTCCTGCAGGGCAGCCTTTTGTGTTTTCACTGAGAATCCTAAAATACAAAAGTTGACACTGTTATCAACACAAGAGGCTCAATAATGACTGATAAAATGCGCTGAATGAATGAATTGCTTTACCTATCACRCCACTGCATACTCTGCAAATAATATCTCTGACACTTTTATCCATTTGTTGACATTATTTGTTTAGTTAATATAAAATATGTTGTAAATGAAAATCTAATGAATTTATGACAAATTGAACTGAGTAAAAAGAACATGACAGAACTTCAGAGAAGTTTTGAACAATCACTTATTGTTGTTTTTTTCATAAGTCATGGTTGCATTGCGTATTGTTGAGACATCTGTTTACTCTGAAGTCTTTCTTTTCAAGTTCACATGCGTTTTTTGTCGACTGAGCTCAAAAGAGCCACGTAGCCTAACGGCTTACGCTAATTCAGTCATGTTCCAGAAACAGATAAAGGAAATTTTTTAAACGATTAATTGAATATTAGGTGCAGTATTGTATTTTATACTTTCTGATCATTGCAGCCATGAGGCCATACCAGAACAAGAGTTGGTGTGTGTCTCATGTGGTCTTTCTCTTAGCCTAAACAAAAATGAGTTATGTTCTGACATCTGAAATAAAAGGTAACACCTCCATGGGTGTAACCAGGAAGAGATGTACATTATAAGGTCAAWTCATTATTATAGTAGAAGAAGTTGTTAGTGTGTTGCAGAGTCTCTGCTAGACTGCTGTGTTTTGTTTTGTTTTCAGCCCAAGGTCTTACCTGAGGCCTGCTGAGTGCTGTTCTGTGAACCTGATTGGAGTCAGAAGATTGAGAATAAAGTTTTAAGAAGAAATCCAGCAGATTCCTGTTTATTCGGACATACCATTTGGAACAACGCATATTATTTTTCTTACACAGGAATGCAGATAGTTTTTCATGATAACTTCAGAGGACTAATAAATAATACAAAAACAGTCTGAGTTTCTGATGCCACGACTGATGAGGTACTAGATAGAAGGACTTTTTGTCAAAACATCCCATCAAAGTTAACTGAACTATGCCTTTTAAAAATGCAGTTACCACCATAAACAAACCAATCACACTAATAAAAGCAAAACTGACATAAGATGTGCATGAACATTTTTACTTATTGTTAAAAAACTATTTCGAAAACTGTGAAATTTGTGTCTTCTGGACCAGTAGGGATTGTTGCTTGCTTCTGAAAGGCGAAGGTGGAGAGATTTTGTTTTTATTTTTGTGTGTGTCTGTGTTTCTGTGTCTGTCTGCTACTAAAATATCTCACCAGCCACTGGATGGATTTTTAATGAAACTTGCAGGAACTTTTGGCTGGACATGTAACGTTTTGAACCAACCCAATTCAAAATGATTGCTACAGCAGGTTGAAACAGATTTACAGGTATTGTGTACATTTTGTGCATACCTGTACTGCAAAGTGTTTTTGCTTCAAAATTTTGCACTAACTGTTGGAGTCAAACTTGTTTGTTAGCAACACATCTTGTGAATCTCTGATTTAAATGAAACTTTCAAAATGTAATGGTTGGATGCAGGTTTATAACTATTTAGTCTACACATTGATGGCAGCCATAGCCAACTGACATTAAATATAAATCATCCATAAACTTTAATAATTATATCTAATAATAATAATAATAATAATAATAATAATAATAATAATAATAATAATAATAATAATAATAATAATAATAATAATAATAATAATAATAATAATAATAATAATAATTAAGATGCTTGTGCGTAATGTCATTTTAAAGATTTGACCAAAAACTTAGTAACCTTGTTCTCAGTCCATCTAAAACTCTGTTACAAAGGGCAGCAGGTGATGTGCATTCCTTTCAGGAAAGTTCAGATTTTCGTTTCAAATACATTTAAACTGTTAAATAATAATGTGGATAGGATCTTAATCTAACATGTATCTTTGTATCTGCTCTCTTGTTGGCCCTAATAACAATATTTACCTTTCTCTTAGTATAAAACACATTAAGCAACTGTGGTAGAATTCTTAAGATTTTCCTAGATTTATTGCAATGTAAAACCTACACAAAAAAAAACTTGTTTACGTAATATAACGGATGCCTTCTTGATTCTGAGAACTGTCATAAAGCAGGTTTTACTTTAAGTATAAATACGCTAACTGGGGGTGAAAGCCTAAACCTGCCATCTTCAGCTCAGAAGCATTAAAATATAAAAACAAAAAGTTTGTTGTCGGCAACACCAGAGCACAAAGCTGGCTCTCTGGCAGAGTTGAATAAGTGGTATTCTTTTAAATTWATTTTTTCTATTTATCTGTAGGGGGAAATCCATTTTGTTAACATTATAAAGCAAATTCTTAAAAGGTTTATCAAAAACAAACAGCTCAGTTGGTGGGTTTATATAGAAAAGTACTTTTAGAGAAACACTTTTCCTTTGAAATGCAGAAGGTAAAGTGCACCTCAAGTCTGCTAACTTTTTTGCTTTCTGATTAAATATTTTCAATGAAATTGTTGCACCATATTTGAGATGTTAAAACAATGGATGGATAACAAAATATGAAGAAAGTAACAAGGCAGCGCCACACTTGTTTTATTAAATTATGGATGTTCTTTGTTTGAACTTGATTTCAAAGGTTTTGCTGTAACGCAGAGCAACAAAGAGACAAGAATAACATTTATTTTGCCACCAAAGCTCTGACAAAAGGTAATAGATGTCTATAGAAAAGTAAAATAATTTGAAAACCATCAATAAAAAGCAATTTAACAACCCTGTGCAACTGCTTTGCAGCAGCACACGTGTMAGGAATCTTCTGCAGGTAGAGGATGTTGTTTGTTGAACAGACTGTGAAGCTTTATATAAAATGGTAACACGAGAAGCTGGGATATAAATCTAAAACCGACTTGATACATTTGGTCTAACCTGTTACACGGATGAGAAAATAACACGAAAGCTAAAGAAATATCCTTTAGTATTTGTTTTATTTACTGTGTTGATGGTTAAACAGCCTGGCTTTATGAACTGTGACAACATAAAGTTTATTTGCTGCTTCTATTTTTACACAAAAATTATTGCAGTAACTCTAATGGTGCGTTCACACCAAACGCGATTTCAGCATCAGGAGCCTCAGGTTTACATGCAAAGTCTATGGTGGACACGCTTCAAGCAGCGTCGGGAAGTGCTGCGGCATGTCAAGTGCGATTAGAGCAGTGCGATTTGAACGATTTGAGCGTTCGACGTGCTTGATG